TGTGTTTGAAGTTGATTTTTGACATAAGCATTGTTTGACAACAGTGATAAACAGCTGAAGCATGAATATAAACAGCCCATCCCAGAATTGATAATGACTACAGAGGACAGGCCCAGGATAGGAAAATGACAGGTGTTGGCAACAGAATGTGCAGAACATGGGTTGGTTACTTCTGGGAAAACATGTTTATCATTTTAATTCTCTGATTTTCAGATTTTCTCTAGTTTCTCTGTTTAGAAAAAAGTGACTCACTGTTCAGAAACAAAAAACAAAGATAAACATAATTCAATTTAACAGCTCTGAATGCCAGAACATTTTGATTTAGCCATGGCTGTTTCATGCTTTTACCTTTCATGAGTTCCACATTAACTTCTTTTCCACGTTTTGCTGCCTTTAATAAAAAGATTATGAAGAACCCCCCTACATTACTGTTAAAGGTAGGGGATAAAAGCTATCAGATACGCTTAAAATCAAGAGTATAAAGGAGATTTTTGACCTCTGGGAAATTAGTTAGCTCCTATCAGTATCAGAGGTCTGTAAATCCGAGCCACCCTCTGTGACAGAGGAGTGAGGCCCCTGATCTTAGTCACCAGTGAAAATCTGATGTTACCTTCCAGAGAAGAAAGACAGTCTGACTTGTACACAAGATTGTTATGGAAGTTTTGCAGAAACATGAGTATTTTCTTTTATAGTCTTGTATGTGTTTACACTTTGAAAGAACACAAAGGAGCTAATTCATTCTTGGAAAGTGTTTCTTTAAAGGAATGTTTACTTCAAAACAAAACACTTATTGAAAACGTATGTAGGAGCCATTCCAAAGTAATTGGTCACAGAAACCTGGACTGTAAAGGGAACTGCAGAGGAGCCCACAAAAAAAAAAAACAGAAGGATGACAGAATGCACTCAGGCCTGATGCGGACCTGAGAACTGAAGACCCCTCCGGGAGAAGAATTTCAGAACCCACATATCCGAGTCTTAGGACCCCCACAGCATTGGCTCCAAGAAGCATTCCTGTCCTCCTGTTTCTCCACCGCCAAAGGAAGGGGGAGTGGATCCCGCCCTCTCATCCGGTTGTTGATCCAGGGCAGGAATCCCGGAGAACTTGCTTGAGTAGCACTAACTGTGCAAGAAGTTCCTAACTACGAGGCAGGAAGACGTCCTCACCACACCACCGACCCAGAAGCACACACGTCCCAATCGGTACATGTGGGAACACATCTCGAAATGCCACAATGACAAAGAAGCTTGCAACTTGCAAGCGCGCACTCACCCTGGGCCGGGGCGCTCGCACACCCGTCCCCCGCCTCGGCCCCGCGCTGGGGCCCGGGGGCCAGCGCTTCGCCCGCGCCGGACATGGGCCGCTCACCGCCTGCCGCCGAGCTGGCCGCCCCGCGGGGCTGGCGCCGGAGGGCTGTTAGGTGTTGGGTGCAGGGAACTGACTGCTTCTGGAGGGGGAGAAAAAGGGGTTTAGAGAAGAGCACACCCCCTGAGGGACATTCCCTCCCAGCCAGCTCCCCTCCCCCAAACCCCACCCCTGGGAAGTTTTGATTTGAAACCAGGGAGGAAAACTGTTTACCCAGCAAGTTGACAGCAGCAGAGTCTCGGGGAGTCGCTGGGTGGCACTGAAGCGGGGAGGGGATTGGATTTGGGAGAAACTGGGGGGAGAGGACCAAACCCCTCCTCCCCCAGCCCGGGAGACCACCACCTACCTCGGCATCCCCCCAGCTCGATCAAAGCCCCTTCCTCCTCCTCTTCCGCCCCGGAAAGTTAGTGAGGCTCCGGCAGAGGCTGCATCGCGCCCCGGTGGCCTGATGGTGGAGGCCGCCCCTGGGTGTCCCTCCCCGCCTCTCTCTGGCTCAGCCAGACACCGCAGTGGCGGTAACTGCGGCAGAGGCTGCCCCTGCCTGGCTCTGTGCTCTCCGCCCCCTCTCCCAGCCCGCTCAGTCTGGCCACTTCTCTGCCAAGGGGGACCTTTACCCCTCTGCCGCTCTTTGCCTTTTCACCACTCCTACACTCCCGAAACACTTCTCCCTCTGTTGCTCCTTTTCATCATATCCGGATCGGGTAGGCCTCGAACTCTTGGCCCGAGGCCCCGAGGCTGGGGGCGGGACCGGCTGGCTGCACGCTCCCTCGCTCCGCACTGTCTGGGTCAGGAGGCCAAAGCCACAGGGTGGAGAGGGGTTCCTCCCTCCTCCCCAGGCTGCTGGGAAAAGGAACAAGTGGGCTGGTCCTTGCCGGCCCTAGAGCCCCCCATCCCCTCTCCCCCAACCACTTACTCTTCCCAATCCAGCCCCAGAACAACCCAAATTCTGGAAATGCCTTAAGAGAAGTAGAAACCTTCAGGGTAGACAATGCTAAACGAAAAAATACAAAAATCTCAAACTTTCCTGGTGGAATCGTGTGGTTTTGTAACCTTGATCCCCTCCCCTCCCTGCTCGCTGAGTGTTTAACCTTTGACTAAAATTCCTTTTATTCGTAAGGTTTTTTAGTTCTTTGTTTATTTGAGTCAAACAGGTTTCTGGATCTGGTAAAACCAGTTGGGGTTGTATGAATGAACTCCAGGCATTCAGGCAGGCAAGGCTGACAGCTTTGAAGATTCCCTGGTCCAAGGCAGGCGGCCAGGACTGGTCACTTCTGTGTGGCCAGATACACGAGCGTTTGGAAGTACATAGCAGGTCAACTCTCCATTTGTAAAGAAGATGTTCTGATTGTAGCTTCATCTGATGAGCCAATAACAAGTATAAAGTAATTTGCAGACAAAAAAAGTACTTAAATCATATATTCAGATAACTTTTGCTCTTAATTGAGTGAAATGCAGAAATCATTTGTAGAAACCTAGAACAAATTCATTTTCTGAATCTCTAGGACAAGAAAGAAATCACAGCAATGTTATCAAAATTGAAAAAAATGTACATTGGATACATCTTCTTTCTAGGTGCATCGTTAATAAAATCCCAGGGATTCCATTTCTTCAAATTGCAATTGCAGTTGATTCCAATTGACTGAGAAGATGCATTTCTTAGCTTCAAGGAGTCAGTGCAACCAAACTTATTTTCAGTTAAACCTGAAAAACGCTGCCTTTGAAGCTTCTAACGACAGTTGCTCACACTGTACTCCCAAAAGACAATGACATTTGCTCAATGACCTATGACTAACACATTTTTTTTTAATTTAGAGATTTCAGATGTGGTGTGTATAGAAATGCCGTACTTCTCTTGAAAATTTGTCTAGGGCCCTGCACTGTTTGGATTCTGTGCAATGGAGGCAAATGAGTTCTGGGGTGATGGCACTGCCACTAGAGAACAAACATTTAGAAAGCATTCTGTCTACTGCAACATGATCTGCAACCAAAGCAGTGGGAACGAGGGCAGGTGCTCTGGAAGATTCTGTTTTATCCCTTTCTTACATTTTCCTTGCCTCGTTTTTGGTGGTTGTTGTTTGTTTGTTTTTCAATCCCTTCACTAGGATGTTGTGGGGGACGGAAAAATTAATTTTTCTTCCTACCTTTCTAAGTTCTTCTGGCTGAACTAATAACCAAACTAACATGAGACAGATTAGAAAATGACCCAATTTATTATGTCTGACCTGTGGGGGTTCCATAAGAATATAAGGCCAGAGGACATGTTGGACAGTTGAGGCTTAGATGCCTTTTTGGAGCTAAACAGAAAGGGGGATTGTAGTTTGGAACTTCAAAGGGCAAGGGAGGCAATTCACAAGAAGATGGAAAAGCAAATGTTAGGTAAATAAATGTTTGCTGGGCCAACTTTAACAATGGGACACAGAGGGACTTTGATCAAATGGGCCTTGCTAGGTTTCTCCCTGACACTCACACCAAGTTCATGTTAAACTATAGTGATCTGTAATGATAGCCCCCTTCCTGGAACACTTCTGCTGTCTAAATTCTTTTAGGCAGTAAAGGGGGAGGATCAAAGCTCCTTTGTGAGTCTTTTGTTTCTTAAAAATAGCCAGAGTAAAATAATCAATATTCCAAGAAAGTCACAGTCAGTGATAAATATTTTGGAGTGGCAAAGAGTAAAATAATCAATATTCCAAGAAAGTCACAGTCAGTGATATATATTTTGGAGTGGCAAACTCTGCTTCCCCCGAAGTTATAGTCCATGAATATCAGTAAGTTACAGCACTTTCAAGGGAGTCATAATCAGTAGTAAATATTTGTTAATTTAAATTCACACAGTAGTTAATGTGGCACACACAGTAGGTAATTCAGTAAATACTCCTTAAAGTAAATGTAAACATCTAACCTTTTAATGGGGAAGAAATAAAATTCAAATAAAAATATAAGGAACAAATGAGAGGCTGTGTGGTATAATCACCAAGATGGTCCAAAGCTGTATCTTGCCCAGTTGTGTGAATTCGGGTAAGTTGGTCACCCTCTCTATGCCCCGGTGGCCTCATTAAGTGAGAATGAGAAGAGCAACTCTTCATAGGGTCCCATGAAGACAAATAATTCTCTAATGTCATTTGGAAGAGTGTCAGATTTGAGGAAGGGTGCTCAAAAATATTGACTATTCTTAATACGTAGTAGAAGCGTTCT